AGACCCATGTGGTGGATCGAGTAGTTTCGCAGCGGTAGTGATATGAGAGTCTGGAGAGTGTCACGGCATTCGCACAGGATACGGGGCCAGGCCAATTGAGATTCGTAAGTCATCACGTTGATGTGGAGTGATTGGATGGGTGGAGGGTTCGACCATTTGCGCCAACAGCGAAGAGAATGTAGGCGGAGTTCCTTGAGATTTGGTGCTACACGCTTGGAAGGCCCATTCGTGCAGTGACCATTCAAGTCGAGCTCGAGTATTGTCAGATGTTCGAGGAGTGAAAGATAGATAACCTGGGACATGAAGCATCCAAACTGTCCTACTAGGCGGAGAGATACAAGACGGGGTACCAATGTCCAGGCGAGAGACTGGCGATCCCTGTGCACCGTGTACTCGACGAGGGCATGTGTCGGCCGTTTTATGGCTCGTATAAGCCATAGATTGACATTTCGAGGGGTCATTGGCGAGTCGTCGGGGATGTCGAAATAAGTCCATGCCTCTCGAGTCAATAGAGTCGCACAGCGCCACGCCTGGCATACAGCACACGCTATTGTCGGTGCTTTCCAGTCAAGCAAAGTATGATAGAGGATAATGCCCCAAGACCGGGTAATCGGTCAATCGCCCTGGTGAGCCATTCGCACGGGGTCCTGTGTGATGTCGTCGAGACGTTTAGAGTTGGTGAAGGATATAATTTCATGGTGGATGAGAATGGTTTGCCTTGGTCAACGTCGGATTATGTAGGCGCGCCCAAGTGGCCGAACTGTCTTTTGAACCGTGCCATGGCTGACGAGTCGTCAATGCCAACGTAAAATGATCCGACGGCGCTATTCCAGACATTGCTGGGCTGATCCTCAATATCTTCGTGTGGATTCCGTGTTGTCAGTGGTAGACACGCCAGCCCTCGGCTGCAACAGTCGGTCAACGTGACTGGAGCATCTTATTTCCCTCTACTTCTTACCAGTCACCCCGATACAAATTCCAGCAAAGGGCTCAAAAGTCGTTTCGGTGCTCGGAGCCATTCGATGATCGAGGAAAAGTACCTTTTTGTAAATTTCCTAATGACCCTAGAATCTCGACATGCACTTGAATTATGTCTATATCTCTATCGCGCCCTGGTGCTCCGCGGTCGGAGTCGGTTGGGCGTAAGCCGCAAAAAGGGGCGACCGGAGTCCTCCTCATCTGCACACTTCCAACCTCTTCCACATCATGCAAGAGGTCCAGACACTGTTGTCAAACGCGAGCCCAGTTCAGCTCGGAGCTGCTGCAACCGCACTCATCTCCGTTGGACTCGTCTACGCATGGTCGACAAAGATACATCCGTCTTCGTGTCGTTATCCAAAAGGGCCACCAAGACTCCCTCTTATCGGTAACTCTCACAACTTTCCGACAGAAAACTGGGGAGTCATCTTCAACGAGCGGCAAAAGCTCTATGGTGAATGAGACTAGCAGAACCATTGAACAAACGTAACGGGTGTTATAGGTGACATAGTCTATGTTCAGCTTCCCGGAATGCCCTTCTATATCATCAATTCACTGGAAATTGCGCAAGAGCTCTGTAACAAACGCGCAAAGCTCAATTCAGAGAGAAAGATAGGGTATATGATCATGAATCTGTACGTATGTCCTTTCACCTGCATTCCTTTCACTCGACCTGCAGTATGGGTGGAGCTGGTTACCTGCGTTTATGAGTTCCGATGCACTACCCGGCAGAATCAGAACCCTGTTTAGACGTGGCATAGGGCCAACAAAGATGCCGTTAAAGGATCCCTCATCGAGAGAAAGGCTCAGGATTTTGTGCTCGACCTACAAGGCGTAAGAGGAAATCCGAAGAGCACGATATTAAAGTAGGCTCACTCGGTTCTAACCTCTCTAATTGAACATTGATGACAGCACTGTCAGAATGATCATTATCGAATTGGCGTATGGCCGAGGCATCGTGAAGGAGCATGGAGACGAGATGATTGCACTCAACTTGGAGGCAAGGAACCTGTTGGAAAATGCCATTTTGACCGTGTGGACTGTTGATCGAATCTCGTTATGTGAGTGAGGCCTTTGCGATTGGATCGGCTCAAGCCAGTTACAGTGCGCTTCTGGCCAAGCTGGATGCCTGAAGGAGAATTCAAGTACACCGCTCGCCGTGCTTTAGTCTTAAACTGATATATATATCCAGACGATCTGGCGCATACTGCAAGCAACTTGTGGATCGAATCCGGCAATGGCCATTCCGAATGGCTATCGAGTGCCGTGTGAGCCGCATCCAAAATAGCGACTTCATTGACCTTACACTCGCTTAGAAAGCTGGAACGCTTGATCACTGTTTCGCGGATGACTTGATGAATGAATTTGGGACCTCCTTCGAAGTTCGAGACACGCTCGCCAATATCTACTTTGGTATGTGCTCTCTCACCTACTTGGAATTCGCTAACTCGTCTCTAGCCGGTGTCGATACAGTACGAGAAATCAGTACAAGTTGCTTTCATGCTCACACATCTCGTGCAGACACCCACTCTAATCATCCGATTCTTGCACACCATGTTCATTTACCAGAGGTCACAAAGAAGATGCAATCTGACATCGACTCAGTAATTGGTCGTGACCGGTTGCCGACAGCAAAGGAACGAAATCACCTACCATACTCCAATGCCGTCTGGAAGGAAGCTATTCGGTACAAGTGTTCCATGCCTCTGGGCATTCCTCATTCGAGTAACGAAGATCAGCTAATTAACGGGCACTTTATCCCAAAAGGCTCAATCATCAACCCAAATTTCGGTACGCTGAATCCTTCTAAGCAAGATAAATTCACATACCATCACAGGATCGATGCTCAGCAACCTAAATATATGGGGTGACCCTGACGTCTTCCGACCCGAACGTTTCCTCTCTTCCGACGCAAGCTCATTGCCTGATCCAACCACTCTTATCTTCGGGTTCGGACCAAGGTAAGACATTGAGAAGGGAATAGCTAATGTATTAACCTGTTCCGGGATCTGTCCAGGAATGTACTTTGCTGACCGTACAGGATTCCATCTCGTGACCACGGCCATTGCATTATTCGACATCAATTCGCTACCTGGAGAGTCAGTACCTCATCCCGCAACAGTTCAGTACCTCAAGAGAGGCATGCGGTACGTTGAGCGGTCTAATGGTGATCAATATTTGACTGCTTTTTAGACTTCCCGTCAATTTTGATTGCGTATTCACGCCAAGGGATGATAAAGCCAGTCAGCTCTTATCTTCTCTTGCGTTGAGTCGTTGAGCCTCATGTGGTTCTGGCTTCCAACGACCCTGACATTGGGATGGACAGTGATTTCAGGGTATCCGCATTGAAACTGACCTCGAGATTTCATATGAATCGAATGGAGTTGCGGGCTATGTCGAAGGAATCCTGCTCGTCAATGGAGTGCGAATTGTGAGCTCGTCAGGACCAGGTGTAGTATGATATTCACTATCCATAAGGTCCAAAAAATAGGATAAAGGTGTGTCGGGCAGCCTAGAACACATATTCAGCGGTAGAGCCCAAATTAAGACGACAAGAATCTGGCGAATAATAAGATTGAATTAGGGAAGCCAGTGAGAAAGGATAAACTGATAGAGGAGCCAAGGAAACCGGCACCTAGCTGAGGCCTCTTAAACACGACTTCTCGTGAGACCTTCATGCCAAGATCGTCATCCTGGCGCAATCAGATGCACCACGTGACCTCCAATAAGCAATTCTTCTTTGAATAATTGTCCGCCGCCAACATACCTGGATAGTGAAAGAAGGAGCTAAGTTGGGGTAGGTCAACCAGTGGATATTCTCCTGGAGCAGGAGGCGATAGACTTACTGTGATTTATGACTCGATAGATCCTGCATATAGATAAGACATGTCAAGGAGGTAAAGAATCACTTGAATTGCACGCCATCTTCGTTGCGGGTCTAGCTGTCTATTACCTCTTGGACGTCGCCTCATCGTCTTTACTGTTACTGACGCTCTGTACGTTATACTCTTGGCTGGTGCTTCCTCTTGTGGGGCACAATGAGAATTGAAACGGCGCTATCGGGGATAATTTATCATTAGATTGCGGTTGGATCTCGACAGGTCTGTGGAGGATACCACACCGTGTTCCTGCTTGTACCAACCTTGGACTCGTCCTCAGCATGGAAAATATCCAGGCATTGCTATCAAACGCGACTCCAGTCCAGTGGGGGGCTGCAGCGGCGGCTGTCATCTCCCTCGGGCTCGTCTATGCAACATCACGAAAGACATACGGCTCAGGCCGACATTATCCACCAGGACCGCCCAAGCTTCTTCTCATCGGAAATGCGCACAACTTTCCTGTGGATAACTGGGCCGTCGTGTTCAACGAATGGCAAAAGCTCTACGGTGAACTAAAGGGCAGTCCGTTTGAAATGGGTCTAACAGGTTGAATAGGGGACATAATCCACATACAACTTCCCGGAACCTCTTTTGTTATCGTCAATTCTTTTGAAATCGCACAAGAACTATTCAATAAGCGGGCAAAGTTTAATTCAGACCGAAATGTTGGTCACATGATTATGAAACTGTGCGTGATGGCCAAGGAAATCCTTCAACGTGCTGAATTTCCATAGTATGGGCTGGGAATGGACACCTATATTCAGAAACGCCGATATCGTTCACAGCACCGAGCGAACAATGTTCAAACGTGGGATCGGTCCAACAAAGATGCCGTTGAAAGATCCTCTCATTGAAAGTCATACCCAGCAACTCGTTCTCGATTTACAAAGGATTAAAGGAAACCCAAGAAATACAATAGTAAAGTACGTTTACCAAGCTCATAGTTGCTCATAGCTTACAGTTGCTGAAAGTATCATTGGCATGACTATCATCGAGCTCGCTTACGGCCGTGGCATTGTAAAAGATCATGGAGTGGAGTTGACTGCACTTAATGTAGAAGCGATGAGACTCTTGAATCAAGCCGTCGTGACAGTATGGGCTGTGGATCTTTTCCCTCTGCGTGAGTCGAATACAATCCCATAAACCTCATCGAGCCATTACAGTTCGTTTCTGGCCTAGTTGGATGCCAGGAGGACAATTTAAGTGGGTAATTGTTTTTGTCATGCCTCTAGTCCTCATACATACTGTAGACGGCATGGTGCATACAGCAAGCAGCTTGTCGACCGTATTCGGGAATGGCCTTTTCAGATGGCCATCGAACGTCATGTCAGTAATTTGAAGGCTTTAGTTAATCTTTTACCTCATCAAGTGGCAGAAAGCCGGAACTCTTGGCCACTGCCTCGCTGACGATCTTATCAACGAGTTTGGTACACGGTTTGAAGTTCAAGACACGCTAGCCTCTCTCTATCTAGGTATCAGGCTTTTCACTCAGCTTTCCATTCTGACTGATTCTCAGCCGGTGTTGATACTGTAATGAACTTGAGTGACGCAGTCATCTATTTACTTCTTTCAACAGACATCCACAGTGGTTGTCCAGTTTCTACATGCCATGTTTGTTTTCCCGGAAATCGCAAAAGGTGCAAGCAGAGATTGACTCTGTTATTGGTCGGGAGCGACTACTGAGTGAAAGATCGTGCTGATCTCCCTATACCAATGCCGTCTGGAAAGAATCGCTGCGGCTCAAATGTGCCGCGCCCGTGGGCGCTCCTCGTTCGAACATGCACGATGAAACAATCAACGGTTACTTTATCCCTAAAGGCTCCATTATAAATTCCAATTTCGGTATGTTAGACCCGCTATAATGAATGTTTGATGACCATCGTAGGCTTCATGCTCAATAATCCAAAGATATGGGGAGACCCGGAAATCTTTAGACCAGAGCGTTTTCTCTCAGCCGAGGCCAGTGCTCTGCCAGATCCCACTGTTCTCATCTTTGGATTTGGAGCGAGGTCTGTTAATTTATTAGATGCATTCGACCTACTCAGCCACTCTAGAATTTGTCCAGGAATGTATTTTGCTGATCGTACTGGGTTTCACATGGCGGTTTCGACGATGGCATTGTTCGATATCAAGCCTCTACCCGGAGAGTTGGTTCCGCTATACACGGAGGTTGAATACACGAAAACTCTTTTCCGGTGAGCATGGTAGCAAGCCGAGTTGTTCGTATTCACGATTATACAGACTTCCCGTCAAGTTCGATTGCAGTTTTGCTCCGAGGGATAGCAAAGCCACTCATCTCTTATCCTCCCTGGCATTGGGCTATTGAAGCTATAGCTAGCTGAACGAATGAATTGGGACGGACGGGCTTTTCGGAGTATACGCATTGAAACTGAACTTGTGATGTCCTTTGAATCGAATGGGTGTGCTTGATTATGTAGTGCGAATGGTGGAATTCTCGGAGTCGAGTAGCCACGCACTTTCTAATGGCAAATTAAGAATAGAGATAGGTTGATGCAGCCCAGAAAGTGAAGCAAGTCAACCTCTAACACCCCTACTACATTGTGGCGGGCATGGAACAAACTAGCATCAATATGATCGAATCACGGCGACATATAACCTGCTTTGAAGACGCCTATGTTGTTCAATCAAGAGGACAGGATCATTCGAGCAATCTCATACAGCTATTCAGAAGACTCGAATCATAGTGAAAGCTTACTCCTCATAAAAAGGATTGAGGAACTGACGCCAAACTACCGATACCTCTTAGACTCGACTTCGCTCAGATGCCCCTTCACCAAGATCGCCAAGCCTCCAACTGCTTCAACAAATTTAATGAAACGACCACCAAGAAGCGTTCTTTTGGAAAGCTTTGCTGGCATCCCACCATGAAGGCATCAAGATGCAAACCTCGGGCTCAAATCAACCTCCTATCGTGAATACTTTGATCAACAGACTGCGGCAGGATCTCTAGTGGCCCTGTTGGGCTCACAATCTGGATTGCCGGTTATGGACCAACCCTGTCCCACATGTCGCCCCTTCGCCCCTTGGACTTGTCCTCAGCATGGAAGGCATCAAGACGCTCGTATCGAGAGTGACTCTAGTCCAGTTGGGAGCAGCAGCGGCGGCAGTCGTCTCGGTCGGGCTGGCCTGCGCGGCATCGAGAAGGGCTTACCGTTCAGGCCGAACCTATCCGCCAGGTCCTCCGCGACTACCGTTGCTGGGGAACGCGCACAACTTTCCGATGGAGGATTGGGCTGTCGTCTTCAATGAATGGGGAAAACTCTATGGCAAGTGAGATAACAGCCCGTTTACATGCCTCTAACAAGTTGAATAGGTGACATAGTATATGTGCAACTCCCAGGAGTGTCCTTCTATATCATCAATAGTCTGGATGTTGCCCAAGAACTCCTCAACAAGCGCGCAAAATTCAATTCGGACAGAAGAATAGGTTACATGATTATGCAACTGTAAGTGAAAGCTTCGAAGTACGCCTCTTAAATCCTGACCCTCCATAGTATGGGCTGGAATTGGTCGCCCGCGTTCATCAATGCCGACATAGTCCATGGTACAGAGCGAACAATGTTCAGACGTGGTATCGGGCCCACAAAGATGCCACTCAAAGATCCTCTTATCGAAAGGAATGCACAGCAGTTTGTCCTCGACTTGCAACAACTCAAAGGGAATCCAAAGGAGACGGTTACAAAGTGCGTCTACTATGCTCTACATACCAAGCTGATTCAGGTGAAGCATTATGGGCATGACTATCATCGAACTCGCTTATGGGCATGGTATCGTGAAGGATCACGGCGCAGAGATGATTGCACTCAATTTAGAAGCAATCAAACTTTTGGATGAAGCACTCCTGACTGTATGGGCTGTGGACTTGATCCCGCTGCGTGAGTCCAAATTATTCATGGTTCTCCTCATTGAACCGCCATCTAAAGTTCGTTTTTGGCCAAGTTGGATGCCGGGAGGACAATTCAAGTATGTGACCGCTTGCGTCAAATCTCTTATGCTCAGACATGCTATAGGCGGCATGGTGCATACAGCAAGCGGCTCGTCGACTGCATTCGTGAATGGCCTTTTCAGATGGCTGTCGAGCGTCATGTAAGTTGCTTCAACACTCCGTCTGACTCATATCTCACATAGTACTAGAAAGCCGGAACTCTCGACCACTGTCTGGCTGACGACCTCATCAATGAATTTGGTACTCCATTTGAAGTTCAGGATACGTTAGCCAATCTCTACTTCGGTACGAGGGTTGAATCTTGCTCTTCGATTCTGACTCGCTTTCAGCTGGCGTTGATACTGTACAAAACTTGTGTCACCTAGTCATCCACTGACTTCCTTCCACAGACATCTACCGTGATAATCCGGTTTCTACATGCCATGTTTCTATTTCCGGAGATTGCAAAAAAGATACAAGCTGAGATCGACTCCGTTATTGGCCGCGATCGACTACCGAGGGTGACAGATCGTGCTGACCTCCCTTACACCAACGCCGTCTGGAAAGAATCACTTCGGTTCAATTCCGCCGTGCCTCTGGCTATTCCTCATTCGAACAGGCACGACGAAACGATCAACGGCTACTTTATACCAAAGGGCTCCTTGATAAACCCAAATTTCGGTATGTTCGACCATCTATGATGAGTGGTTTGATAATTTCCCGCAGGTTTTATGCTCAGCGATCCGAGGATATGGGGGACCCAGAAATCTTTAGACCGGAGCGTTTCTTATCATCCGAGGCCAGCAAGCTGCCGGACCCTACCGTCACCATCTTTGGATTCGGACCAAGGTAATTTACATGCCTTATACTCATTCTGCGTGCTCAGTAACTTCAGAATCTGCCCGGGAATGTATTTTTGCTGACCGTGCCGGGTTTCACATGACGGCTACTACTATAGCATTATTCAATATCGACCCTTTACCAGGAGAGTCGGTTCCCTTATACACAGAGGTTCAGTACACGAAAAATGTTCTCCGGTACGCCTAATAAGCAGTCAAGGCTGCTCGTATTGACGATTATACAGGCTTCCAGTCAAATTCGATTGCATGTTTACCCCGAGGGATGGCCAAGCCGTTCATCTGTTATCATCAATCGCATTGAATCAATGATTATTTGTACAGCTGGGTAGATAAAGAGGCACGTCATGAATATGGAAGCTGTCCTTGTAACGACCTCGTACACTCTCGGTTGTTATGAGATGTTAATCTGTCTTGGGTACACGCTTGTACATCAAGTCGGTTCGCATGGTATGTTTGATGCCAGAGGTCACATAGTCGCCCGAGTGAAGAAGGTCGGCGTGCTGAAACAGGAGTACACGACCGGCTTTTGGATGGACGTCGATTCGACGACTGAGGTCCGAGGATAAGAAGGGTGTAGATCCTCCCTCTAATGGCTCGTCACTGAGATACAAAGGATTCGGTGTTTGTACGGGGAGAGGAAGGAGACTGCTCGGTCCGAAGTGCGCTGGCCAGGTGTAATTGCTTGTACAGAATCATTGAGGTAGAGATGGAGTGTGACGAATGAGCGCTCCGTATTATCTGGTGTCGAATACATTCCGTCACAGTGTTCTAGGAGGGTAAGTCGAAAGGTTGATGGAACTCTAAAAAGCCTCCGCACCTTTGAAGAACTGCCCAGGACCATACTCAAGAATCGCATGCGTTCGTTCAATCTTGAGAAGATCCAACGACTATTCTGTCCGCGGCGTCCCTGGATGAGCGGCTTGTGATCCAGTGTGCCAATCTCCTCGAGGACACCATCCACCTTGGTACACCGCTCCCACAAGCGATTCATCACCTCTTGATCATCCCATATAATCCTATCCGAGTTTCTGTACTCGGTCATCATGACCTCGCGGCCAACACCTGCATTTACCATCGCCGCCTTCCAACCGTTATTGTCTACTCCCTCGTCACTCGCACCAGCACTCTGCTCCGCGTACTCAATGAGTTGCTTGCACTCACTTGGGCTGAGAACATTATCGAGCACGACGGCGTAGCGGCCTTCGTACTCGGGCAAAATCGACTCGGAAAAGTTGACCGTATGGAGGGTGATTGCCTGTGCATCTGGTGCGGGTGATTTGAGAAAATCGTCCGGAATGTCCACTTTCTTTGACGTATACGAAGTGGCGACGATGCGCGTGTGCGCCGGGGTTGTCTGCTTGGAGTCGACTTTGTGCCCACTATTGGGCTTTCTGACCTTGGAGAGAAGGAAAGACATTGTAATAGAGGTTTCTGAGGGAGAAATTAGAGGGTGAAGATATGGGCAGGTCCAAGAAAGACTTAGGCGCCAAGTTAGGCTGTAGAGGCTCGTGACTCTTCTTCGCGGGAATAAACAGGAGCAGTGTATACAAGTACATTACATCTCAGATAGCGGCTCTAACAAATCGGAATCCACCGGCCTTTATGACTTGTCCGAAAGCGGGCGAAGAAGAATGGGCAATTGAGGCCCATCCTCCTTTCTTGCTTTCAATACAGGACGAGTGACAACCCTTTGTAGTGTGATGAGCCCAATCTCCTTTGATAAACGTGATACGCACATTTCTCGTCCCATAAGTTCGTCTGGCTGAACCGCGACGTTAATCTCAAACGAGCGAAGGAGATAGAGAAGGAGAATTTTCATCCTGTAAAGTCAAATTAGATGTGTATGAAAAATGCTGTGCCAAGACATACTCCAAGACGGCGAACCGGAATCCTATGCAAGACCGAGGACCAGCACCAAAGGTGAGGAGATTCGCCCATAGGGCAGGTGTCGCTTTAACCGCTGGTGGAAGATCCCCGAGCCACCTGTCTGGACTATAGGACGTAAGCGACTGAGAGCTTAAGTAAAGCGCAGACATACTTGAATTTATCTGCGTCCTCTCCCCACGTCTCTTTCAATTGATTGATCAGTTTGATGGGAATAAGAATGTGATCGCCCTTTTTGATACTGTAACACGTTTTCGTCAGCTTTTTCCCTTCGGTTCGGTTCGGACTTACTAGAGGTAAGCATGCTGTTGACCCCTTTTGTCGATAAACGGACGCTCTAACGGAAGGACATCATCTTCGACTGCAACTCGAGAGAAGACGTCGATAGGCGGGTGGAAACGAAGCATCTCCCGCACGACAGCTTCCAGGTATGGTAAAGCATTGAGGGCATCGACGGTGACCGGAGTATCTCTGTTGGGAATGCTACTAGAAGCTCTTCGCGTAGGCGCATTTGTATATCTGGATGCAATGCAAGCTCTTGAAGTCCCCATGCAGTACCAGTTGCTGTGGTATCATGGCCTAGAAAGGCTTTAGACGAGACCAACAACAAGATTATGTCACTTACCTGCTATGAGG